TTTCCCACTCTTTTAAGCTCACCTAAAGCCATTGCCTCCCCACAGCTTGCATTCACTTTTCTTGTACTACTTCTCCTCTCTATTCCCTAGTAAAATTTTGCTCCTCCCAAGACTGGTGCCTTTCTTCTGGTCTCACCTTACCCATCTCTCCTGGCTTCCCAGATGGTTCCGCAGAGCAGTTTCTGCTGTGCTCTGTCTAGTTCATCAGCCTACTGGGTTGGCTCCAGTCTGTTCCCTGTGGTTTTCTAAGAGGTGCTGAGCAAGCCCAGCTTTTCACTGGAGCCTGCTCAGCTCATCCCTGGCTAAAGCTACAGGACCCCCCCACCCAGGTCCCCAGGGTGAAGGAGGTCGGGTGCAGGGTCGCCTTCCTGTGTAGCAGCACACATAAACCGAGGGTCCCAGCAAGCAGATTGCCATCTTTGCTACTCCTCAACCATTAAAAGGAATGTTTACATGATAATTTGAGTTCTGTGTGATGTGACTTGCTGGAAGAGCGAAATTATAAAAAATTTCAGAGGTAAGTTTAAATTTTTTAAAAAGTGCAGCTAATCTATAAAGAGCTTTCAGACAAGTACCTTCAGATAATATGAATGGGGAAGATTGCTTGCATCAAGGAAAGCGGGTGATTAGAATAAATCAGACTCATAGATTCCACAGTGGCCAAAAAAACCCCACCAAACCCAAAACGTTATCAATCTGTATGTAGTTATTGGGCTTTTGATCTGGCAAACGAGTTCTTACTGGGATCCAAGATCCTGAGGAAACAGGAGGACTCTGCTCTTCCCTCAAACCAAGCTGTTACTTAAAGCAACCTAAACGGAATTTCCTACTTTCCTATTTTCTTAAGTCCATATGTTTGTGAGACAGTGAAGCTGAGCTGTGTACGTGTATGATTAAGTGGCCCTGCTTGTTTCCAGCGCAGGTCCAGCAAGTGTCACCCTGGGAGAGGAGCGTGGCTGGGAAGAGGGGTGCCCTGTGGGAGCGGGTATTGTGGCTGTGGCCCCTGCCACTGCGAGGTGGCTCCTGCGCCCTGGACCGGTGCTGTGGGGAAAAGGAGATTCAATCTGAACACTTTAAGCTAGGGAGAGGTAGTTCAAAAGCAGTTATTTTTAAGAGCAAGTAGGCTTTGTTTTCTAGCCTAGTCAGAACGTGCTGTTTGCTAAAATAAATTGCTGTCATTACTGGCAGCTTCCCCACAGTTAGACTGGATTTTAGGAATGAGAAAGCCTCTAATTTGTTTACAGCCTTGCAATTACAAGTATGCTTTAACAAAATAACATCTTAGAAGAGATCTGAATAAACATTATTCCCACATTAAAGTGGTTGTTGAAAAAAAAAAAAATAAGTGTGTCTGTGTGGGGAATACAAAGCAAGTCAAGCTATGCACCAGCTGTTTTGAGGGAGGAGGTTGGTCGTGTTTGTTATTTTGTTCTTTTAACCTTGCAAACTGCCTAATTGGGAAAAGCTAATAATAGATGCCTGGTCCAAATAAACATGAAATGCACCCCACAAAGGTGTTTATTAGGCAATGTGAGAAACTTGGCAAATTCCTGGAAAGCTGAGTGTTCAGAGCTGTGTGTAAGAAAGCAGATGTTTTGCGCAATTTGGAGAAGGCGAGGAAATGTGCTCGTCAGAACAGTCTTGCAAGTGAGTGAATGTCAAGGATGGGTCTTTGTTACGAGTGCTCCCTCACAGAACTTGTGAGTCCTGTGGAAACAGAAGAGAGATCATTCTGACCACGTAAGCCTTCGCCAGTAGACAGCTCAGTAAAATTCAGTAAAAGAAAGTTAAAGCCTTGCTTTACGCTACCAAGGATGCCAGATTTAATGTGTTAAAATACAGGACTTTTTTTTTTTTAAAAAAAAGGCTGTCTAAGAGCTGTTCAGTTGCCACCCCGCCTCTTGCAGATCGTGAGAAAGTACCACTGACACTTGCTAAAAATGACTTTCAGGCTAGTGTCCTCTCAGTTTTGTATTGAACTTGCACCACCCACATAATGAAAGCTTGTTGAAAGGCAACTGCAAATTTTCTTCAGTCTTTGAGAAGAATAAGGAAAGCTGGGTTTATTGGCTGCTTTGGGTCCCTCTGATGTGTCTGGAGATGAGTAAGAGCAGCTGTGCATCAGACTTACGCAGGGCAAAAACGTATGTATGTCCCTTCTGGCACAGCTGGCTTGTAATCTAGGACAGGTAGTGTTATCACCCAGGGAGCAATGCCTGACATGGGAGTGGTGGGGACCGGTGCGGGAGAACCTGAACCGGGACTGTGTGTCCTGAATTTAGATGTTTTGCAGGCTCTTTTTAGAAAAGGTACTCATCATTCTGGGCAGTGCACAAACCACAACCTCGAGTGAGTTCTTCTGGATCCCAAGCAATTACCCTTCTCCTATAAAAAAACCTAAAACATACTCTTGTGGGTATTTTTAGATTCCTCAGCTTTTTTCCCCTGCGTGTGAGAAAGAAGGCTGTTGCCTGCCATATCATCACAGGGAAGAGGAATCTCGTGCATTGAGTCACCAGCTCACATGACAACCATGGTGGGAGGTGGCAGCAGGGGAGTTTATTGGTAGGCAGGTGGCACCTGGAGCACAAAGCCCCGTCAGGTGCTAGCTCTTCTCTTGGAGCAGCTGTGTGACATTCTGGACTCTCGTGCCAGAGGGGGTCCATGTGGTGTTTGATGCCCCTCTTTGGATGGGGAGGAAATGGGGTACAGAACTCGGTTCTCTAAGTCTGATGCACAATGTGTAAGGCTGAACGGGTTGAGATTTTAAAATTTTAGTCTTTAAATCAAAGAGGTGATAGTATGTTTGATGACAAGGCTGACACCTGTAAAAAAACAGGTTATTTCAGAGGTCTGTATTCTGACATAGTTAAGTTTAATGATTAGACTACTTACTTGAGACCTCAAAAACCTTGATTTTATTCCCAGCTCTGCTGCTGGCCTAGGAGGTTATTTTGAGCAAGTCACTTCTGTGCTTAAGTCTCCCTGTCTCATAATGGCACAGTGAGTATCGCTAGTTTTTCCTGTTGCTTCAGGGTTAATGTGGTGATCCTGATTAATGGATAATCCCATGTGCTTCTTCAGTGCCCACGCTGAACTTTTATAGCAATTCTTGGACTGCGTCAGGTTCCCTGGGCACGCCTGTTGTTTGGCGGGTGACCAGTTTTAATGTCAGTTTTTTTCTTTTAATCTATTTGTGGCATAATAGGCAGATTTAGCTTGAGAATAAAGTACATAAGCTAAATGTTTCTGCTAAAACAGTTGGTGAAGAAAGCGTTGGGAATGTCCTTAGGATGTATTCTCCAGAGATATGAATGGGATGGTTCACAACTCATAGAGCTTTTGTTTCATGCTGGTACTAACAAGAGCATAGAGTGATTTGAAATAAATTATCTCTCTGGCCGAAGGGGCAACAAATGTATTTTACAGTGAAACTTTCTGTTTTGGAGTGTAGTGTTGTGGAAGCAAGTAGATTCTGTAGCAGAGCAGAAGAACAGAAGAAACTTGGGCTTAGTTAGCTTAGTTCTGGTTGACCAGATTTCAAAACAGATGGCATTTGAAACTCTGACAACAGTGGCATTTTAACTTACAGGACTGAGTTGTGGAGACTGGGATAGGGATATACAAGTAAAAGATGAAGAAAAATGTCTGTGAGACTGTGGAGAAAGGGTACAAAATAGCAAAAATATTTTGGAGAAAAGTTACAGAGAATAAAATTTAATTCTATTTACCTAATAATGAGGCAACTTTAAAGTTGAGGTGCACTGACAGTTGATTATCATGATTACTGTATGTACAAAGGCTGCTTCATTTCAACTGTAAAACTGTTTTCAACCTCCTCCCAGTGTGGACCAGTGGCTTGTCTACAAAGATAATTTGGGATGCCTAAAATTTGTTCCACAAATTAAAAAGTAACACGGCAAAGGAAATTTTGGTGATGTAACTGCATTTAAATTAGGAGCTCATTTGTCAGCATTGGGTTGTTATATTTTTAAGCAATGTTATGCTGTTACAATTCTTTAATGCAGATAAAAATATTTAGAGGCAGTAGCTTATGCCCGTATGGGACATATAAGAAATATTTATCTTGGTAAGGATTTTACCAGGGTGACTAAAGGATGTAACTTGTGCTCAACCGAAATATGAAAATAGTGTACAGACCAAAACTTATGGTCATTTGTACAAGACTCTTCTGAATCACCCTTCCCCAAGCCTGATTTAGCCATGAATACTGATAGTTATGCCTCACATATCTGAGTCATGTGACATAATTTCCAGATAAATTATTAAGTTACTTGCAGAGCCTGGGACTGAGCTTGGGTGCTTGTTCGAGCCCAGTTGTGTGTACTCCTGAGACGTGGAGCACTGGCTCAGGGTAAATGGCTCTGGTAGGAGGCCACAGGGAGGGTGCAGGTACGCGGCCATGTTGTGCTTTTTACTCTTCTCTTGCTCTTGGAGAGGATTTTTCCTAGTAACTTGAGCTTTGCCAGCAGACTTTCCATGCAAGGAGTGTTTGGTGATGTAGAGCAGATGACAGCCTGGTAGAACACTCCTAGTCTAGACACTTCTATCTCCATTTAAATAACTGAAGGTGTAAGTCATTTGGAAGAAAATGAGTAATAAGCATGAAAACCAGTCACAAACCCATCATGGCCCACCTTTCCAGTTCTGGAAGTACTCATCACCATGGTTTATTGTCTGACTGGCATATAAAGCCTTTAAGAAGCAGTATTATTATGTTTTTATTATTATGACTCTTTACCACTGCAAGGAAAAGAAGTCTGCAAGGCTTGTGGTTTGGAATGGAAAAGAAAGAAGCATTTTCTAAAACCACTAGATAATCACATTAAAAAAATCTTTTTAATTGTTCCTGCCCTAGAGCTAGTTTTGGGCAATATGGGACCAATTAAATTATTAAAACCACAGTTTCTGATTTCTATCAATTATTTTTACAGCTTGAACAGTCCAAGCCTTTAGGAAGGTGATTTTGATTAGGTGTCTGTGGTTCTGTCACCTCCCTCAGGTACAGTTACATCATTAAGGTGATGCTTCAGTAACGCCACAGTTAAATAAGGCACAGTTTCTGCTTAAAATAGAGTTTAAATCTTTAATTAGGAAGAGAAAAAAGTGTTGTCTGCTCCCCTCCCCACTTTTTTTTTCCCCTCTAAATAGAAGAAAGGAGGTCTGGAAGACCTGTTGAATTTTGTCTCCACGCACAACAGGTACAAAATATTTCTATAAACCAAACTTAAGCTCATTGTGCTTATAGCACAAGGAGTCAGGATCCTTGGTTGTCCTGTGCTACAGAAAGAGAGAAGGAGACTCAGAACATTGGCTGTGTTGTAGTGAGATTCTTTTTTCTTCCTCCTTGTGAAAGCTCAAGGAGTGCTGCTGTTCCAAGCAAGAGTTACAGCGTGTCTTTTATCTCTACTGCCCATTCCCTCTCACTTCTGGGACCCTGGCTGGTGAGTGTCTGGGGCCCCAGTGAGGCTCTTTAGAATCATAGAAGCATTAAGGTTGGAAAAGACCTCCAAGATCATGAAGTCCAACTGTCAACCCAACACCACCATGCCCACTAAACCATGTCCTGAACTTGGTGCTGCTTGTTGTGCTTCACATTAAGGGCTGAGACCTGCTGGAACAAGATGTGGTGCAACTAAAGTTGTTCTTACGCGTCTGGATTCCCCTCCTCTACCACCCTTCCCTTCCCCCCCCCAAAAAAAAAGTAAGTGTGAAGTGTCTGCAGTGCAAAGTAGTTGTGTCTGACTGTCTGAGGCTTTAGGATATTAGAGAGGTGTGTCCTGTGAACTGGAACTGGTGTAGAGATGTCTTAACTCCTGAAGGTAGGTTTGTTTGTAGAAGTAATATGTTATTAGAACAGCTGTTATGGTTGGAGGAGAACAACACAGATGATCTGAAAGGTCTGCATACCCAAAAGTTTTAGTTTTTTCAGTTATATCCGTTGGCCTAATAAAAGATATTGTGTCTCTCTACAAGCTTTGAATCTGTTTTATCCTTAGACTGTCTTAGCTTTGACTCCACTATTTCTTGACACTTGCAGGTTAGGATGGTAATTGTATTGGTAGGAAAGATGGTTTAACAAACGGATTTTTTTTGTGGAGGGGATTTATGTGGGTTTTTTTCTTGATCATTAAATTTCTAAGGCGTTTAAACAGCAGATATTGCAAAAAGTCTGAGTAAGCACATTTCGATATACCTTGCTTAGTGCAAGAAGGTACAGAACTCACTGAAGCATTTCCAACAATCACCACAAAAGCAGGTTGTGGGTTGGGTTTTTTTTTCCCTTTAAAGCATTTAATTGTGCGAGTGCACATGGTGGTGATGAAATCGCTGTCTTAGTTGCGCTTGAAAATCCTAATAGATAAATTCTTTAGTTTACAGTCAGAGTACAGCTGCAAAATGTTTCACTATTCAATGTGAATGTTAGTAACTAAAAGAGACTATTGCTTGAAAGTTGTACATGTAAGTAAATCACATACGTGTGTAGAGAGATAATATAAATATAATTGGTATTCAAATTGGTATTCAAAGTAGTAGAAATCAGACAAGTCCATCATATAGATTTTAAAATCTATAGTTCTGTATTTTCCAAGCATAGGAAAATCTACTGTGAAATTGTTTAGCCAGTTTGCCCTTTGTCCTGCATCTAGTGTGTGGCTGGTGGGGAAAAGGGATTAGGCAGCTACCTGTTTCCCATCCAAGAGCTCTGTTTCCTTGGAATGTGCTGCTTTCCCTTTTGTAAAAGGGGAATGAGACGGTGCTTCTGCTTTTCTGCTGCCAGTATACACAGCTTGAGAACAAATCACGGCCCCCAGGGAAGCAGCCTCTTACCATTCTAGGTTAGGGACAGATTGCTTCCCTCTGAAACAACAGGAGATGCAAAGCAGAAATTCTGTCTCATTTGTCCTTTGCTTCACACAGCCTGTTCTTGAAACAGCCCATTCATGCATCCTCCTTGAGTCACAGTACCTCCTCATCCAGATTTCTGTGATTGTATTGTTTTAAGTAATTTTAATGTTTTCCATAAAACTAGTAATTACTGCAGTGTTTTAGCTTTTCTCTTTTAGATGCTCCTGTTCAGTAGTTAATGAATGAAACTCTTGACAGTCATCTGTGGAGAGTGGCTCCACTTCACTGCCCTGTTTTCCAGATAGCCAGATGACGGAGAGAAAAGAAGAAATGGTGGGAACAGAAAAGCACTGTGAGCAACTTCCTAAACAGGAAAGATCAGATGTACAAAGCCAAGATCGTGCTAGTACTAGTCCAGTGCTACCAGAGTCTGCCAAATTTGCAGCACTGTAAGGCCAGTTTACTTTACAATTTTGTACTTCAAAGATATGATGTAAGCTGTTTTGTTTCACTGAGTAGAAATGACATAAACTTTTAATTAACCTCTTTTTCTTTTTGTTTTATTGAGAACAAGAAAAAAGTTCCTCATAGTAGTTTTGAAAAATTTTTGTGTCAAGTTACCAGGGCAACAGGCAAAGGCAGATAATCTACCGAGTAACTTCTCAGCAAGACAGTTCTGTCTTGCAAGTAATAAGTGGACCTGAGGCGTCTGTGCAAGATGAGCTATCCGTGGATGCAATGCATGTGTTCATAGATGAAAATGGTGAGTTTCTGTAGTTGGAATAATTACGATGTGTGAGGAAATTTCTAAAGAAACTGTAGATGCCCTGTAAGGATATTTCTCTTGTCTTTTACCAAGGATGTTTTTCTGTGTGCATTTTTTTTTAAAAAAAAGGTTAGTAATTTAAAGTCAGATCAGCAATAACTAGAGTTTTTAAAATTCACCAGTGACCATCACAGACCTGAGGCTTACGCAGTGCATGAAGTTTATCTTCCAAACATTGTCCTCAAAAAATGCTAGCTAGGCCAACACACTACTTCTGTCTTTGCAGAAGAACCCCAGGCACTTTCTGCCTGTTGAGCAGTTTTACACTGGCCTGGCTGGGCAAAACGTTCCTCCCTTTTACTGTTTTGTTCTTCAGCTGGCTCAGACTGAACTCTCCCTGATGATCTGGTGGTTGCTTTCATTTGAAGTTGTGGTCTGCTACCCCTTTCAAGAGAATTAATGAGTGAGCTAGTCTTGCCCCATGCCTATGCTTGGCATGCTGTTCTGCAGCTATTCCTAGAGGCTGAAGCTGTCATATACTTGGTGGAGGTTTGTTTGAACTCTGTGTAGCGCTCTGAGGTGCTGGCCCGTACCTTGGAAAGGCAGCTGTCCCAAAAGCCATATTTCCCTTAAAGCTGCCTTCAAAACCTGTATGGAATGAGTGCTCATGGTAGCTGGGTTTGTGACCCCAGAGATGCTTTGTTTTTCTGCCCTGCAGCTCCCTGTGTGCTGTGGGGCCAAGAGCAGCAGCTGCAAGTCAGGCAGATGGCATCACCTGTGGGTCAGTGAACAATGACCCTTCATTTTTTGCTACACATGCAAGGAGAGAGTTGCAGAATTTTTCCCTGCTTTGTACCTCCTCACCTTTGTGAACTGAAAGAAAAATATATGATGATTTCACAATTTACAGTTAACTTACATTGATATACAGGCTTTGCATTTACTTTGCGTAACTTTTAAATTTTCACTGTAATTTCTGTGTTTTGATTTGTCTCAGGTTTTCAGTTGTTCAAATGTTAATTTGCTTTCTGAAGTCTAAAATAAGCCTACTGCACAGACTGAAAGCTATATTTATAAATGTGCCTGCCCTAAAATGTCTTTTTTATAAACTTTGTGTGTAAAACAAATTATCATATCACTGAACTGATTTTTTTTTTCCTCTGTATTTCATAAAGGGGAAATTAGATCCTGTTATTTAAAGGCTGGCTGTCAGAAGGAAGGAAGTTTTCGACATCAGCTATCAAATTGTGATTGTATTTCAAATGCTCAGTAAGTAAGCCCTTATTTTTAGAAATGTTAAAAGTTTTCATTGCTACAAGCTATGAAACTGATTGTCACTGTGGGAGATGGATGTGAAGAGGAGCTCTGGAGAATAAATGTGCTAACCTCTCCTAGAGATGTCAAAGCATGCATATTTTTGTTTTGTGCTAAAACAGTGACTGCTTTGTAAGGATATTGGTAAGGTGAAGTGCAAAAGAAAACCAGAACTATCCAGTGTGCTTTCATTACTTTCTGTGACTAGCCAAAGTCAAATGTGGCAGTTATAAATAAGATTGTTAAATAAAACAAAGTGGGACTGTTACCAGCTATTCTCTCAACCTTGTCTTGCTCACTTCATGTGCCTGTTGGGTCCTTTGTAGATTTTCAGTCCTGTGTCAGTATCAGCCAGTGATACTGCTTCCTGTGGATTCTAGCATCAGCCTTTCACCTTGCATGAAATATCTAATGATAGTTTGCCACTCTGAAGAGGTATCTGAACAATTTTCTCTTTTCAAAGGTTTTTTCAGAGTGATCCACTTAAATCCCATATTCCTTACTGTGGTCACCACGCTCTCCTATGTGATCTGTTGTTTGCATATCTATAAAAAGAATTTTAACTATTAATAAGCATTTTTATTAAATAATTTCATGGTTTTCATACTGCTATGCAGCATTTGGAGGAGCTGAGTGAGGGAGTGAGAAAGGTCGTTGTTAATGCTAAATATTGTTCTTCAAGTGTTTGGCTTGCAGTGGAGACTTTTGAAAAGCGTGGGACCGTGTAAAGAACAGTGTTAGCATTTTAGATAGAATGCTATTATGAGAGACATGAGAATAGTGTTTTTAGTAGTCAGTGAGTGAAGGTTAAAAAAAATAATCTGAGTTCATCTACAGTAGAAATGTTCTGTCTTTAGCAAAATAAAAAGAAAACAAAACAAACAGGTAGAGTTCAGTTTTGATCTAAAATCAAACCTTTTACTTTGGGGTTATTTAATCCTTCTAACTCTCTTCGTTTCACCTTGCACAGAATACTCCCATCCTCCCCCATCATATAACTATGAACTTGAATCTGTCCTAAATTTAAAAATAGTTTACTGTCCTCTGACATTTATCAGTTAATCTGTTTTTATCAAAAGAAGAACAATCTTCCTTCTTGTATAAGAAGTCCTTCTGAATCTGTCTTTGCTAGATACTTGATGCTTATGTGACATCTCTGTCTTCTTGTACTGTTAAGTGCTGTTTTTTAGTTTGTGGTTTGCAGACCTCTAAGGATGTGTATTATTTTGAAGGGGTCTGCTAAACATTGTTAACAAAAGCAAGTTCAGATATTCTTTGCAGCCATTCACATGCATTTAATTTCTAGAGATCAGCACCTTTGCTGGGAACCTCAGAGTACAGCAACAGTTCAGACTGGGGTACAGAACAAATCAGCAAAGACAAGTGGGTTTCCAGGACTGTTTCTGTATGGGAGTCAATGTGAAGATAGAACACAAGAGCTTTTCTAAGAACAGAGCAGCATGAAGAAAAGTACAAAGCAGAAGTCCACATGAAAAACAAGCAAAGAGGACAAGGAAGCGCAAAGCGTGCTGAAGTTGGTTTTTGCAAGGGCAGTTTGTAATACATTTAGGCTGGAAAGATTAGTGAGAGCTGTTTGTTCAGCGGGTAGTTCCTATCATCTGTGCATAGGTTGAAGGGTAGCACAGGAGGTGTTTTGGGTTTGGTTTTTTTTTTTTTTCAGGTATTTACCATGAAATAATTTTGTATTTAGACAATATGGAACATTTGGAGCATATAGGAAATAGATGGGTACATCTACTTAAAAGACACTTCAGGACTGAGGCATCTTTCCTTCCCCTTTTCCCATATGCCCACTTGGAGGCTTGCACATCACTTATGTCAGGCTAGTTTCTTATCCATGGTTAAAGATAAGCCAAATAATCACAGTTATTAACTAATATTTTTTTTTATTACTGAAGAAAAAAGCAACTAGAATAAAATAAAGCACAAGGCATAATCGATGATTGCTTCAGTTACAGTCTCCTCTGTATGTCTGTCTGTGGAGAGCTCTTGACAGAAATTATTCCCTTGAGGGTGAGCCCTTTGGTGGTGATGTTCATTGTGCAAGTAGTCCATACCAACAGGAAATGCTGCTGTTATGAAAGGATATTAGAAAAAAGACGTGGAAAGCACCTCTGGGATGTACTTGAGATGATGCAGAAACAACAGCTTTAGGCTTGGTGTCTGAATCTGTTAACGAGCCATCCAAATTAGATTTTATGAGATCAAAGGATGCAGGAGAAAATGAATGCCTGGACATAGAGGTGGCATCTTCCTTGAATAGGAGAGATAGGATTTTGATCTCAGGGAGGCCAGATTTCAGAATCTAGAATAAGCTTATGGAGAACAACAGATAGATCTGCAGTAGATGTGTATAAGCTCTTAAAACATTTTCTGCTAATCATGCTTGCTTCATAGTGTTAAGATTAAGCTGCTCCTAAAAGGAAAATGTCAAATTGAGTTGAGCCAGTGGGGTAACTATGTGGATGTGCATGGACTGTGCCCTGGTGTGCTCCTCTATGAGGAGGAGAATTGGCCCAGGCCAGGTGGTGGCAAGAGGTCTCTTGCTTTGGGGCTTTTGTTGGAAAAAGCAGCAGATCAGGCGTGCTGGCGTGCTAGGAGCTGTGGCACTTCTGGGTAACACTGCAGCTGGTGAAGAGGAAAGGAGTTATAACTCGGGAGGGTATGAACTCTGGCTGGTTTGTCAAGAATAATGTAATTGCCTTATGAATTTGCCATAGGTAAATACTTTTTAACTAAGTTATGCAAAACTGGAGAAGGCATTTAAATATTACTCAAAAGAAGCCATTAATGAAAGCCTTGAGGCAGACTAACTAATATTTAACGATCTTAAATTCAAATTATAACTTGCTATTTCTGTCTATTGAGTCCTGCTATTGTCTGTTCCAGTAGTAAAGTCTTAACTGGTCTGGCATTTCACAACAGTTTACTAGGAACTGAAATTAAAGTATGGCCTGTAAATGTTTTGTCTTATCTTCTTGGCGCAGCTTCTGAAATCCGTTTCTCACAAATAATGCAAGATCTTAACAATGGCACTCTGTCACAGAAGTGATGCTGTGTTATGTTTTCTTTTGTTCTTTGCATTTGCGTGCTTCCTGCTCTTCCTTTGCTTGTAAAGGGCTGGGTGGACAACAATGGATTACAATCCAGAGAAAGCAGATGTCTCAGTTTGAAGAAGTCTGTGCTTTCTTCCTTCAGACTCTCCTTAACATTGAAAGCAATACTGTTTGAAACTGTCTTGTCAAATATCAGTAGTCTATCACCTTTTTTTGGCTCTGCAGTATTGTGAGGTGATCTCTGGAGTATTCTCCAGTTTATCAATGTTAATATATATTCCACCAGATTCTATTTTGGGGGGTTTTTTGTTGTTTTGTTTTAGTTTTATTGTTTGCATTTTCAGCTATAGTAGTTGTCCTAATGAAAGATACTACCTGTATCTGCAGTCCTTGTCCTGGAAATTTTCAGAGCTTTTTAAATGTAGCATAAACAGTGTTTTATTAGTAATTTCTAAAATTATCCCTTGATTCTGCCAAAGGTTACTGAGAATTACAACTGTTTCAAATTGTCTCCGTATTTGTCTCTCCCCAAATTGTCTCTCAGCAGTCCAGCTTTTATAATATTTAAAAACTTAAGTTAGCCAGGTTAAATCTAAAGATTTTTATGTTGTAATGATCAGCAAAAAAGATAATTACTTTTCCACTTTAACCCTTACTTTGGCAGGTAATTCTTGATACTGAGTTTGGTAAGTTATTTAAACATTGACAGGTAGCTAATCAGTTCCCCAGTGACTGTCCGTGTTATTACCCTGACCCCACTTTTGTCTGTTATCCTGCCAGCAACACCTCTTGCCAGTAGTCCCTGTGGAATGGGTTCCCTGCTAAGCTAATTGCCTGTAAATTTGATGCTCCCATTACCTCGCCAACTTCACCTCTAGCCATAAATTGCTTTGTGACAGGCTTTGACAAGACGAAGTGTAAACTGTATTTTCAGATCATGGATTACATTAAAAACGAGTTACAGAAGAACCATTTTGAATCTGTTCTGGAGTGAGAAATTTGAAATAGCTTTGTCATCCTGAAAACCATTATTCTGCCCCACTGCATTGAGTTCTTTACCAGCCTTTCTCACTCTTACAGTGGATCCTTAATGTTTCTGTGGCATGTGGTTTGGGTATGTGCTTGGCTTCTGGGAAGGCAGATTGGGATGAGAAAGTTCACATTGTGTAAAACATGTGCGTCATGGAAGCATGAGCTGCCTTTTTGCATGGTTAGTTTGACTTTTCACCAAATCATTGCTCGGTTAGAACAGTTAAAATTTCAAGTTGAAATTCCTCCCATTAGATTGGCAATGCAAGATATACCCCACAATTACTGATAATAACACACCCTTAAAAATATGAGGTGAAAGAATGTTCAAGTTAAAGCATTGTTGTAGGTGTATAGCAGTGTTCTGGGGTCAGGAGAAACAAGCTGGAGTTAATAAATGTCTTGCAAATAAGGAGTTGTCACTGACACACCTTTTCTGTCTGCCACTGTATGACAGAAAGCAGATGTTTCCCAGGAATGTATTTAATTACCTTGAATGTCTCTTGCAATTAAACAACTGAGTCAGTTGTGATAAGCAGTCAAAAAGATAAATGTGAGCTATCGTGTTGTCTAGGCGTTATATGTAAAGTGGCTCGTAAATATCAGTGAAAGTGTAAACCTGTAAAATTACAGTAATTGTAATATGATTAATGATTTTTGCATGATTTCCATGATCTGTCCCCAGTAGAGAGGCTAACAGGGCCACAAGGTATATATCAATGCCAATATATAAATTTAACAGCAATCATCTATTCTGTGCTGTACCAGGCTAATGTGTTCTTTAAACTTTTAACTACTTTTCTAAATGTGCTTTCTTTGCATACTGGTGCTCTTGTTTAGAAGGTTGAA